TCATTTTCTCTATTTTAATCTGAAAACTCTAAATCAATTCATATCAAAGATGCCAATTTTTATGGTAATTGATTTCGTATCATCAAATTTTACATTGAAATCAATATCTCAAGTTGGCACACATCAATTCAATTTTGGGGGAAAAATAGGTTTTGAAATAGTTATTTTTTTTAAAAAAAAATGTGACATTAGCAATGAATTTGCTTTTAATGTCCAATATGAAAATTACTGACATTAATTTTATTAATGGATTAGAGTTTCTTGATCGAAATAAATGAGGTGATTGACATATATAATGGTTACTTTACGAAAGCATGCCTTAGTTCCCTAGCTTTTTTCTTGAAAATGAGAATGTAAGGCTTATAAGAGTATGAACTTAATAGATTTCTTAGTGATAAATATTGGTGGTTAAGACTTCGTATTACCTCATTTTCTCTATTTTAATTTGAAAACCCTAAGTAAATTCATATAAAAGATGCCAATTTATGGTACTTGATTTCGTTTTATCAAATTTTCAACATTGAAATCTATATCTCAAGTTGGCACGGGTCAATTCAATTTTGGGCATAAATAGGTTTTGAAACAGTGATTTTTCTAAAAAATATGGAGTTAAAAAAATAATTAAAAGTTCTGGATTTATATGTAAAATTATTTTGTAGGAGAACGTATGGTTGAAAATGAGCCACTATTTAGTAACCATTATTTAAAAACTCTTCTCATACTTATTTTCAACTACATATCCTTACAATAAAACATTGTTTACGTAGATTCGAAATTTTTTCATAGCATCTGTTTGGTGGTCATTTTTTGAAAAAAAATAAATAAATAATAATAACATTGTTTTGAATTGTAATTTTTTGGAAAATATGTAGTTAAAAAGTACAGAAAAATTTTGGATTTACATGTAAAATATTTTATGATGTGAACATATGGTTGAAAATAAGTATGTAGAAAAAAGAGTTTTGAAAGAATACGAGACAAACTACGGCTTACTTTTTAATTACACATTTTTCAAAAAAGTGCTATTCAAAAAGTCAAATCTTTATTTTAAAAAAATGGTTGTGGACTGAGTTTTAGAAAAAAATTGAGCTCAAACTGAAGCTATATTAAACCTAATTCCGGTTTCTTCTCCAAGTTAGATTCCATATTGAGGAAATTACACCCACCCCTACTTTTAAATTACCATTTTCAAAAATCATGAATCAAGATTCATACTACAAAAATCAAGTTTTAATTAATAATTCAAAAACAATTTTTATTTTTATTTTT